GGGACTGACAGAGACCTACAGGGACAGAGACCTAAAGAGACCTACAGAGACAGAGACCTACAGGGACCTAGAGGGACAGAGTCCTAGAGGGACAGAGACCTAGAGGGACAGAGACCTACAGGGACAGACCGTGCTCTCAAGAGAAACCCCCCAAAAAAATCCACATTTGCAAAACTGGACTGCAGCTCCGCTCATAACAGGGTTTAGGATCTGAGGTGTTTTGATTCTGAGCCACAACAGAAAACTGTTGGTGTCCAGTTTGCATGACTCAGAGCTAAGGCAGCTAATTAGGCGTGTGTGAGTGCTGTGTGTGTGTGTGTGTCTGTGTGTGTGTGTGTGTGTGTGTGTGTGTGTGTGTCTGTGTGTGTCTGTCTGTGTGTGCGTGCACTGTGTGACTGACATCTTTTATTTTCCTTTGTGTCGCAGCCAACTACATTCACAGATGTCAACAGTCTGAGGTCAGACCTGCTAACTTTAGCAGCCAGAGGAAAGTGAAGGGTGTTAAACAGGTGTCTGCGTGTAAAGATGTGTGTGTGTGTGTGTGTGTGTGTGTAAACTGAATAATAATCATATGAAGCTAGTTTACCCATAATTCTCTCTCTGCGAAATGGACAAACGATACGGACCGTGTCCTCGTCGCCCCCTGCAGGTCCTTCTCAGACGTCTCAGCCCGGAGGACCGGGGCTGCGTGTTTGTGTGTGTCACACCTGCAGGAGCTTGACGTCATCACAACTTTAATACCAGCAGCGTTAGATATTTTCATGTCGTTCTTTTCTTCAGTACGTAACTTTGACCCAAGTTTTAAAAGTTTTGTTCAGCTTCAGTATCTGCATCAATATCTTTTATTTCAGTTTTTAATAAAGTTGACATCATTATCATTCGTCATGAACAAATGCTTCAATGTCCATGTACACACACACACACACACACACACACACACACACACAGAGACACACACTGTCCTTGACTAAAATTAACTCTGCTAAGGCCCCTGACTTTTGTCTCCTGGAACTTGATTCTTCTTCTAAATCCCCGGCTTCACTCCCTCCCTGTGAAATGTGCTCATTCATCCGTCTGTCATTCCTCCTCCTACTCTCCGTAAACCCCCTCGTGTCCTTATTCACAGACCACACCTTCACGTCCGCGTCACTAACACATAAACACGCCCTCTCGCTCCCCGCGAGCTCATTCGGACGTTATCTGGAGTTTTTACTTTTTGGGCTGGCAGGAGAAAGTCCAGAGCCTCGTGAGCGTTCCTGCATGCAGCCCCTCAGGAGAACGTCAGGACAACGTCAGGAGATTATCCGGAGTTGTTTTCCCCAAAGACACGACGTGACAGCTTCCAAAAGTGAAGCCAAAGTGTCTCGATTGCCCCCTGGTGGCTGGCCCTTGTTATGGGTCATTAACCTGCCTCCTCCATGTTGGTGAATTGGACCAAACTAAAATGTTGATTTGAGTTATTTTAATGAAAAACAGCGAAACTTACACGTTCAGAACTTAGATCCTGTACTTTTATACTTCTTACTTGACCCGAGGGGTTGAATCAGTACTTGAGTCATCTCTAACTCAAGTATCAGTACTTCTTCTCGAGTGAAGACTGTGTACCACCTCTGCAAAGTACTCGAGTCAAGCCGATGACACATCAGATCATCGGTCGCTCGTCAGTTTACAGTTAAGGTGCTAAGTTTGTTGTAAAATCAAAATATTTCCAAAGTGAATGATCTCGTCTGTCAGAGTTCAGAGGGAGAGACGGTGAGTGAGGACGAAGCCGATGGACGGAAACTAGAAAGCGGGAGAAACTCGATCTGCTCAGGTCCTTCTGTGCTGAACCCTCGTCACATTCTCACCTGTTCACACTCCATCAGTCTCCGTGAGCTCGCGCGGCCAGGGAGGTGTCAGCACTCTCCTGCTGTGTGTGTCTGTCTGTGTGTGGCTTTGTGTCAGGACAATGGCAGCTCAGAGACAATTTATAGTGAAAACCATGTCTCCGTGCTCGTGTGTGTTGTTCTGTCTCCAAAGTGATTAATCACAGGAGACTGGGGCCAGATTCAGTCAAGATTTAGTGATGAGGACTCGTGTACTTGTAAAAGAGACAACTCTGCGTTAATCCTACGTCACAGTAGTTTTTTAAAACTTGATTATGGACATAATATGTTTGATATTATTATAATATGTTTGATATTATTATAATATGTTTGATATTATTATAATATGTTTGATATGCCGTCGGCTGCAGCGTTGTGCTGTTGGTCTCTTTATGGTCGGGTGGACCGGGTTCTGTCAGGTCCTTGAAGACACGCAGAGGACGAGGTCTCGTCTTGTGATTGGGACTAGAAGCCGCTGGTATTTCCCAGACTCAGGCTCCAAGAATAGTTGGACTCTGTCTGTGTCCTCTTCTGGGATAAATATTTACCTTGGCCCTGTGTCGGATGTTCTGCAGGCAGAGCGCTGGAAGCAGTGAACTGAGTTTCGAGTGTTTCAGCTCGAAGGACTCTGTTGTAAGAACTTGATCCAAAAGGGAAAAAAAATCCAACAGCAGAATAAAAAGACAGCAACTCTGGGACCGACTTCATTGAACTCACCCATGGGTGCTCAGATTAGCACATGTGATATTCCAGCAATGTGTTTGACAGAGTGTGTCAGAGACAAACATGTGTTGCACTTGGCTGCCGCAGCGACACTTTGTGTAACACGTCATATAAACTAATTGTCGTTCGTCACTTGTTAAAAATACGATCAGTTCCATATTTCATCCCTCGTTTGTTCTGTGTGTTGCAGTCATGTCGGACGTGGAAGAAGAATACGAGTGAGTAGAGCAGCATCGAACATTTATCCACCTCAGTGTAAATGACTTAACTGATGACGTGTCTGTGTTTGTCCTCGTCTCCGCAGGGAGCAGGCGGACGGTGAGTTGTGTCCGTCACCAAACGTCATCTGTGAAGATTCACACGAGAGGTGAAGGAGTTTTAACATTCTCTGGCTCTCGTTTCATTCCCAGAGGCTGAGGAGGAGGAGGAGGAGGAGGAGGAGGCCGAGCAGGTGGAGGAGGACGGAGGAGGTAAGGACGGGGAGACTCCCAGGATGCAAAGCGTGCACACACACACACACACAGGACGGCTGCTTGTTGTGTCACAAGTATGAAGATTGTTTGTTTTAACTGTGACTCATCAACTCTCGTCTTGTTTCCACCGGCTAAAACCACCGGCTGATCAGAGGAGCACGAGGAGTTCCAGGGTAAGGTTATCATATGTATATATAATATATCCCAGTACATATATACATATACATACATATACATACACGTCGTATGTAATATTTAAACATTTTGCCCTCTATGATCCCGCCTCTATCAGAACTGTGAAGGTTTTTATTGGCTGATTTGCCGCCAGTGTAAACAGGTTGTAAATAATATGCACAGACAAAATGATTCCCACGTGCACTGAGCAATAAACTACATTTCCCTGCGGCCGCATTAGATGGTCCAGTGCAAGTGAACAGTGTGGCTCACGTTGCATGATGGGAAATGATAGTTTTTAAAGCAAGAGTGTAGCATCTTTGCTTTAGCCTCGCTAATGTCTGTATGATGCACATGAAACGAAACTGACTTCATTCATTCCACATCGTTCTCCACCCTCTCATCACTTTTCTCTCCCCCTCCCTCCTTCCCTCCCTCCTTCCCTCCCTCCTTCCTTCCTTTCTTTTCTCGTGCACTCTTCTCACATCATTAATAACTTTTATTTCCATCCTGCCGTCGTTCTCTCTGCCTCGGTTCGGTCGCTGCATCAGATCAAGATGCTCAGGAGGAAGGTGAGAAACAGTCTTTGGTCTCCTGAAGAGTGAAACCCACGATATCTCCTTTCCTCCTGCTCACATCCCTTCATTATTCTCTGGAGAATAAACTTTGACTGGGCTGATGAGGAAGCTGCTCTGTTGTTCTGTCTCTTATCACTAACAGTTTTATTATACCTGCTTTGTTCTGCTCGTTGTGTGTTTAGTCTCACGAATAGATTTTTCTCCCACACGTCTGAAGAGAAACAGTTTTATTCAATAACACGATCTTTCTTTTCTCTTACATCATCAGAGGAGCGTCCCAAACCCAAGTACGTTCATTCATGTCTAATTTTTCTGTTCTGGTGTTTTCTTGTTGCTCAAGTTTCCCTTATAATCTGAATTTTCATCTTTCAGTTATAGAAGCTCATCCTGAAATCTCTGTGCCTTCTTCTTCCCTGCAGACCGATGGTGCCTCAACTCGCTCCCCCAAAGATCCCTGAAGGAGATCGGGTGGATTTTGATGTAAGTTTTGAAGAAGCCACTTCAAGCCAAACTTTTCTGTCACGTAGTCATGAACTTTATTCATCCGGAACCTTTCAAAACACAGTAACAAGATGCTTCATGAGCTGAAAAATGAAATGAAAAGGATCTTACCCAGATCTGAAGCGGCTCACATGTAAGTGAACGTTGTCTGGTTCCGACAGGACATCCACAGGAAGCGTATGGAGAAGGATTTACTGGAGCTGCACACTTTGATCGACGTCCACTTTGAGCAGAGGAAGAAGGACGAGGAAGAACTGATCGGCCTCAAAGACAGAATAGTAGGAAACACAGAAACAGCTCAGATACAGAAAAATGTGATGCAGGAAGTTTAGTACATTCATTTTATTTTCTCTCCACCAGGAGCATCGTCGTTCGGAGAGAGCTGAGATCCAGAGGGTTCGAGCAGAGAAGGAGAAGGACCGACAAAACAGGATTGCGGTAACACACACACACACACACACACACACACACACACACACACACACACACACACACACACTCTTCATTCTTTCAAACCACAGTTTCTATTCATTTACATTTTATATTCTGTCGTTTTCCCTCCCGGTTCTCAAAATCCTCAATTCAACAAGTTAACGTGGCGTTCCTGCTTCTTTGTCATTCCGTCCGTCTCCATCAGGAGGAGCGTCAAAGAAAAGAGGAAGAGGAGGCCAAGAAGAAGGCTGATGATGACGCCAAGAAGAAGAAAGTACTGTCTGGTATGGGAGCGAACTTCGGAGGCTTCCTGACCAAGGTGAGACACCTGCTGCTCTTCCTCTCAGAGATGATGATGATGATGATGATGGATGAGACACAGAAGATTGACTGTGTTCCGTCTGCTCCAGGCCGAGATGAGGAAGGGCAAGCGTCTGACGGGCAGAGAGATCAAGAGGAAGACTCTGTCTGAGAGACGACAGCCGCTGAACATGGACAACATGAGGGAGGACGCCCTCAAGTGAGTCTCCTCCGATTCCACTGTGACTATTTGACTGCAGGACTAGTTTTTCACTTTAACTTAGTGTTTCAACAAATTGGACCCAAAACGAAAAGTGTTTTTAAAGTTGTAAATGTAAAGACAGGTTGAAAGTGTTGAAGATATAATTGGAAAACTGTAAAATACACTTACTTTAACTAAAAATCAGGTGTGATCAGTTTCTGCAGCTCAGACAGTTAAAGTCCTCAGTTATAAATAAAAACTCTAAATACTTTTTCTCAACAAAAACCAGCCCAGAGTTCTAGGTCAGCTCTTTCCAACCCGCGCTCCGTGTTTCTGTGTTGACGCTGTGGAGAATATAAAATGCTGGTTTTCCTTTGTGTTACCAAGGCAACAGGCCCAGGAGCTGTGGAACTGGATCTACCAGCTGGAGTCGGAGAAGTTTGATTTCATGGAGCACATGAAACACCAGAAATACGAGGTACCAGCAGTCGGGACAATAACAGGAGTGAAGCGGTCGAGTACAGGGGTTCACAAACGAGGGGTCTGGGTCCCCGGGGGGGGGTTGCAAGGTTTAGGAGAGGGGTCATGAGGTAACGTCCAGAAATTGATTTAACCAAACCCCTGAGGTTATTTTGATTGACTTTACTTCCCTCCTGCAGATCATTGTGCTGCTGAACCGGATCCAACATGCTCAGAAATTGTGAGTAGTCACAGAAAATGTGTTTAAAATACAAATCTCCAGTTTACTGCTGCTTCTGTCTTCTGTCTTCTGTCGTCCTCTGTTGTGGACAATCTGCTGATCAATGAAGAAATCGTTCAGGAGCCCTTTGACGTCTTAAGCTGAAATATTTATTGAAGCTTGGCCAAGGAGAAAATCTGAGCATGATGCTCTCTCTTATTCTGAAGTCTGCTTTCCTGCAGTCACACTTTGAACAGATCATTGAATCTGTGGGTCTGCTCGTTCCGAAACAATCAAATGTATTTTAGTGATGGAGACAGTGGTGCTGCTTACGCAGTCTCATATCTGTGATGTCGAGGGAGTGAAGGCTTTGACCTTTGCCAAGCTCTCACACTTCCCAAACACAGCGGCCTGTTGCACTCTGCCCCAGAGAGGACAAGAGACAGTGTCCATGAAAGTTCAACCTCCTTTGTCTTCTTATTTCTTCCTCTTACAGTAAAAAAGTCCACGGCAAAGGGAAGGTGGGCGGTCGCTGGAAGTAAAGGCGGAACCTTTTCAAAAAGAGAAAACAAGAACAGGAAGCAGAGGAATGCCTCGGTCTCCGAGGTCGTCTGGTTCCGGAGCCGCCGCTCAGACGCTCCCTGGCTGTGAGAGAGATACTGAATGTTTGTGTTGATAATAAAATGACGTGCACTCAGTGTGGAGTTGGTTTTTTTAACAAGGGAAACTAAATCAAGTTTAGTTTTCTTAAATTAATTGTTTCTGTGGATCACAGCCCCAGATCTGATGTTTGTAATGATGTCAGATTTTTGTCATGTCATGATATCAGCGTGGCCGACACGGTAATTATGTTTCCTGTATGAGCCCCACCCCCTTCCCTTCTCGCTCTAATTCCTGCCTCACATGTTTGGCTCACAGCGTGAGACAAGGACTAAAGAGGACACGCTGTTAATCCAGCCTTTCTCTCACCACACACACACACACACACACACTGTGAACTCATCAGTGAAGGTTACTCTGCTTGTGTTTGTTCAGAAAACATATTTTGTGTGTGTGTAAAGTAGAACACATGATGATCACACATGAGGGTGTTACAGTTTGTGTGTGTGCACATGAAAACCCATCCGTCATTGTTCAGAATCATTTTATTTGTTCAGCTATTTACTGGACAGTCACAAAGAGTCGAAGGTGAACCACACACTCACACACACACACACACACACACACACATTAATGTTCCATTTGCTCCAGGCAGGATCTCCGCTCATTCAAACACTGACAGAGCCACAAAGAGTAAAAACATGTAACTAGATGCAACGAACACATTTTCACATTTGACGACAGGATTCTGAGAATAAACGAGAAGAAAACATGAGGGAGAAAGTGGATACAGAAGAATATTCACACTTCAGATCAGCTCAGGTCAGTTTTCTATTTTTCTTGTCAGAGTTGAAGAAGTTCTATCACTTCGCTCTCTCAGCCTTGCGTACACTACAAGTGGAATTGGGCCGGTCTATGTGCTGGAGGACGCTGTGGTCCAGGAGCAAACACTTTAATTCTGAACATGTGAATCACTGAACTTATCGTTCTGTGTAAATCTGTAAGCTCACACAAACGTGTGTTTTAAGCAGCAGTGTGTTAGTTTGAATAAATCTGAGTCATGCATTCAATAAAATATAAAGCACACACACACACACAGTCATACAAAGATCCCAAAATCAATGTAGGTGTGAACGATTACAGATCATTTCATAAAACCTCCAGATGTTTGGTTGTGGATGAAAGAACGCGGCTCCTCTGCAGATGTTCGGTGATGCATGTTTGCGTGTGTTTAGCGAATCGGGGCCTTCAGAGCAGCGTCCACCTCCTCCTCGGGCTGCAGCGTGTGCCACTGGGCCACGGGACGCCTGGGATTGGCCAGCATGTCCGACCAGTGGCGCAGCCCGACGCCCGAGGCGCCGTAGCCGATCCAGCACTTGCCGATGGGGTCGTTGCTGCCCAGCTTGTCATAGTCGTACACGGTGATCACCACCTGGAGTTTCTGCGCGTGGAGACGGCAGAGAAGACGACACTGGAGTTAGAGCACGATAATATGTGGGAGCTTTGGGAAAATACTTTCGGTTTCTTGCCACGAGTCAAATTAAAACCTCAACATGCGAGATTTACAATTTGGTGACACAGGATGCAACTTGTTCATTCGCCAGTTGACAAGTTGCCTGACTTCCTGTCGTCAATCTGTCCTCTAGTTTTTGCATAATCTTGCCTTCAAACAAACAAATGGACAAAAGTGAAAACACGACTTCCTGTTTAAGGTCAAGCATCCAGTTAATTCCTGGAACAGTTGAACTCCGTGTTGTGAGAGGAACGATTCAAACCTGGATCTGGGAGAACGGGATCTCGAAGCTGAAGCTCTCGTTGAAGTAAGGATTCAGAGTGTTCTGTTTGACGGACGTCTTCTTCTTCTTCAGTCGTTTCCCGTTGTGCTGCAGCACCACTTTAACGAAGGGATCTGAGACGGAGGGACAAGACGTCAGACAGAGGCTTCGGTGGAATGATGCACGTTAGAAAACTGTGTTGCGTTCACCTGACAGGCCTCCGACGTCCATCTTCTTCAAGTTCTTGGCTTCCATGATGTTGACTGTTAACTTCCCGGCGGTGGGGACGTAGCGAAGGGAGATACAGATGTCACCCAGCTTCTCTTGCTGTCAGCGAGGAAACGACATTCAAAGACGTGTTGTCATTGCTTTGGTTACTTCAGAAGTTGAAAATGAATCTATATCTGCAGCTACAGGGAGCACGTGAATAATCTTGGTCTCTATATAAACACGTGAAATAAAAAAACAAATAACTCAGGAACTTTCAGGAATCATCAGCAAAGTGATTCCAGGGTTATGGACTAAAACAAAAAGTACGTCGCTGTATATTTCTGCTCTTTTTTCTCGGCCGATGGTTCTGTGAGTTTGCGAGACGTAGCTTTGAACTGTGGTTGTCGTGGTTTGTCTTGGGCATTGAGCCGAGCTTCTACCCGTTCTAACGAGGTTTAACAGATCCTCAGTACTTTACCTCGTCTGTTTCTGAGATTGATCCGTTCATCACATATTTCAGTGGACGACAAATTAAAACACGCATGTACCTCCTCCTTCTCTCCTCCAACCAGATCTTTCCATTCTTGGATCGGCTGTCCGAGGTCAATGGTGTTCATGGGGATCTTGATCTCGCCGATGTTGTCATGTTTACCAAAACGGTCAAAGTCGAAAACCTGGAGCACCAGAGTCTGACCGCCCAGCTCAGCATAGGGAATCTGCAGAGGACGGAATTTACAGAAGTGAAATCTGAAAAGTTAAACAGTGAATCTGGTTTCAAGTACCGATGAATGCGCACCTTAAAGGTGAAGGTCTCATTGAAGACTGGACACAGGTTCTTCCGCTGAACTTTGGTCTCGAACTTCTTCTTCTTGTCGGGCAGCATGTAGACTTTGACGTAGGGGTCCGAGGTCCCGCCCATGTCCATAGCTGGGAGGTCCTGTGCCTGGAGGACTCCCACGATCAACTGGAATAGGATGAGAAGACTGGGTGATGAACTGAAGGGTCCCGCGCATCAAACCACAAGTGACTCGTGCTTTCAAAGCCGCGTTCAGCTGCGTGTGTACCTGGTTATCAGTGAAGTTATAGTCCAGCGAGTACTCCAGTTTACCGAAGGACTCCTTCTCTTCTTCTTCCTTTCCGTCTTCTCCGTCCTGGAAGACACAGTGGGATAAAATATATTCAGTTGAAAAGGAACCAGCATGAACTGTTCAAACCCTGGAGGGAGAACGTGAAGCTAACATCACGGGTCAATATTTAATTTGCTACTTTCACGTATATATTTGAGCCCGTGGACAAATTTGCACGAGTATAGTTGAGTATAGAGCAGCTACAACTGTTTGTCCCTGTATTTACTGCTACAGTCGGGAAGGTCCAGAATCATCATGTCCTCTGACTCTCGACAAGAAAAAGAACAAGCGCGTTTCCTAAAATGTCAAACTGCACCTTCAAAACAGAAGATCTGTGTTTCTTCATCGATTTATTCTGTCAAACTCAAAATCAATTTCTCTCAACCGTCCAATCTGGGAGCTTTGGTTGAAAAAGTTAAACGAAGTTAAACCCTCAGGACGTCTTCTGCAGACACACCGGTGGCAGCGACCACCCCTCTATCTTTCTCACCTTCTTGTCATCGCCGTCCTCTCCATCCTTGTCCTTCTTCCTGCGCCCTCGTCCTCCCTTCCTCTCGCGGACCTTCTTGGGCTTGCTGCCCTTGTTGAAGCACTTCCTGTAGATGCAGAATCCCATGCAGGCGATGAGGGCGAGGACCACGACCACGATGCCTCCCACTGCCCACGTGGGCACTGGAGGAAGTGGGGAGAGAGAGCAGGAAGTTGGCGACGTGCAGTCTGAGTCTAGTTTTTGATTCATCTTCATTCAGTGGCATGAACAAATAAACTGGGGAAGGGTGAGTCTCCTCACAGGAAGTTCTGTTGATTTGTATTATTTTAAAACAAGAAAAGAAATGTGGACGGATACGAGACAGACTTACGGTTGAGTTTAGGATCTTGAGGAGCAGAGCGGGAGCATGAAGACATGAGGGAGGACAGAGTGAAGACATGACACAGCACAGTTGAGTGTGAGGGGACAGGACGATGGGACGACATGAAACAGAAGTTTGTGACGCAGCATCTTTGTTCAACATTTGTGTATCAGCAGCGTTTGCAGTGGCGTGTTTGAATTGTCCACATGTGTGTCTCGTATGTGCACGTTGCGTCTGCATGTGTGTGTCTGTGCGTGTGCGCTCACTCGGCAGGTGTGTGAGCTCATCGAAGAACTTGTTCTTCATGCTTGCAAACTGGTGGTTGGAGTGGTGTGAGGGCGGAGGCGGAGGCCGCTCCCTCTCCTCCTCCTCGGCCGCCCTGCGGAGCCGCGCTCCCGCCACGCTGACCAATCGCATCGCTGCTCTGACACAACAAAGAAAAACCAACGCTCACCATTTTGAAAATGTGTTGATTGCTGGAAAACAGTTTCCTCTTATCCACTCGTTCACAGTTTAGGTCGAGCAGTGACCGTGAAACTCGACATCACACAACATCACTTCCTCTTCTGTCGTTTTCAAAAGTGTCTGTTCATATTTCATCCTGTTTGATCTTTGACCTGCTCTGATCTCTTTAATCCTCTCTCACTCTCCTGCCTCTCACCGTCCCATTCACTGCTCCTCCTCAAGTCTGTGACTGAGACTCAGGCTTCATCCACACGACGTGTTTTCATTTGAGAAAACACAAGTTCTGTGGAAAACTCTTCCACACAGAGGTTAGGGTTAGGGGTTAAGGTTAGGGGTTAAGGTTAGGGGTTAGCAGTTAGGGGTTAGGGGTTAGGGTTAATGTTAGGGG